GTCTCTTTCCAAACACAGACTTGGCCCAATTTCCAAAGAAACTAGCTGTTGCTTCAGATCAATGCTGGCAGAGAAACAAGCATGTTCTAAAACTCTAGATGCACGAGACGGAAAACTCTCCTTTTCTCCCCAGCACCTCCTGTCTGTTGTGCCGTGTCCCTGAAACAGCTGCTCTCCAGGAAGTCTTTCCAAGTTAGTTTGCAAGCCCAATTAATAGTCCTTGACCTTCACTTTGGCCAGGTAAGAGGATGCTACGGATGCTCTCACCACAGAGGCTGCTCCCTGCCTGCCAGGAAAGCCTGCACTTCAGAGGTACAGCGTTCTCCTGACCACACGGGTAGCTGCAGAGCTGTTGGCAGTGTTGCCAGGATCACGCATCTGCTCCCTGCCAAACATCTTAAACATATTCTTTGGAGAAGTTTAACACAGTTTCTCAACCTCTCTTTTGAGGCCAAGAAAGACTAACTTTGAACAAACTGGTCCACGTGCTAGCTTCCCCACCCCCAGCCCTATCCATCCTCTTCTGAGTTTCTGTTTTACTTTTTCGAAACAAGGCAGTGGAGGCACACAGCACAACCCTGGTTGTGGCCCTCAGCAGGGCAATGCCTGCAGCACGTGGGTTGGGATGGGAGGGAGCAGAGAGTGCGGCTGTTTCAGAAAGGTTCAAATAAAACATAAAAAAAAAAAAAAAAAGCAAAGCAGACAACAGCAAGTTCAGATGAGAGGAGAGGGAGATGCTGCATATAAATAAAATGCCTTCTCTGCCTCTTGGTATTATAAGGGACCCCACAGATTTAGAGGCCCCCAGTTTCTGGGGCAGAAACCTCCCACAGGGAGATGAGAGCCTATGACTGCAGGTGGGCAGCATGGCAGGAAGCAGACCTCAGTCATGCCAAACCTACCAAACCTCCCCAGCACGGCCACCACTGGAAATCTTCTTAAAAAATGGTATTTTCAGCACCTCTTTGGTTTCCACTCTCTTGCCTCAAATCACACTCTGCTAGGAATCTGCTAGTGTGAAAGCATTCGCTATGCTGCCCATGCAACATCCACACACACAGGGGCCTCAAACTGGTTTATTTGTGAGTTCACTGACTTCTCAAGCAGTACATAACCTCTAAGCACTTCTGTAATACAGGCAACTGAGCACCACCACCGATTTGACAGGCTACCTGTCTTCTCCGAACAAACCTCAGAGTATCAGAATACCCTCATCATTTGCTCTCAGCATCTACAGTTTAGAGCAACTGCTAGCACTGACTACACAGGCATCACAAGAGGTGCATCAATGAGAAAGCCAACGCCATAGTTCCTCCCCCCCTCCAACTGAGCAACAAAGGAACTTCTTTCTCTCAGTCCTCAGTTTTTTAAATATGCCTTGCTAACAGTGGGAAGCTTCAGTTTCTATCCAGGACTCTTGGCATTTCGAAGAAACAGTTGTTTTTGTTGCATGCCCATGATCTCTCAGCATACAGCCATTTGGAAACTGTATTCCTTTTTAAACATCAGTGAAAATGAGTACATCTCTAGTGGCTTGTGCTTTGGACATCTGACTGGTTCACGTATTAACCTAGACTTTTTTGTTTTGTCAATATCCCTCTAATTATTAGGGTTTGGGGTTGTCAGTTTTCTAAACTTAAACCTGGGGGTGAAAAGCTACTGAGCCAGACAGACACTTGACTGCAACGTGTTTAGTGCACTTGGGTCACCTTTGCCGTAAGCTGCACAGGAGGCTGAGGTAAGAACACATCTCTTTGGTCTGACATCCCTTACCCGCCGCACCTGCTATCTAAACGGAGATCAAAAATGGCTAAGCAGGCAGCTGTATTCTAAAATAAACTCCATAAACAACACATGCTCTCAATCAAGCAGAACTTGGAAAATTACATCCCTGAAACACTGATAAGCCTGTCCCTGAGATTCTGTTTTGCAGACTTCTGGCATCAAAAGATAAGCGTTGTTTTAAGATTCTGGAGAGAGATCTTGCTATCAAAGAACCTGCTACTTTCCACACTCCTAAAAACAGCTGGCACATAACTATGCCATCACCAAAACACAAAGACTTTATGGAAAAAGTAGAAGAAAAGCATTTTGACTGTTTCAAAAGCACTTAGGCCAACATATGTACTACTTCTACAGAGCAACCTTTTAACTTTTTGTTTGTTTAAAAACAAAAAAAGCCAATACTGTTCTATAGCTCCTAGAGAATGTAACAGTTTGGGGAATGGACATCTACAGGACATACCTGGATTTAATTGGTTTTGGGTTTCTCAGATGCTGAAATATTCGCTGCAGCAAGTGGGCTCTGTTTCTCAATACCCCATTTAAAACACTCATTGGCACACATCTCTAAACTGGAGCATAAATCCAAAATGCTTATATTACCTTGTATTAGAAAATTTCATAGCTGTTAAGGACTTTGAATTAAAAGCTGAATTATAGTATTATTTACCCAGCCCTGATTTATGCTTTTAAATTATAAATAATGGCAAGTGAACCATAAAAGCATTTTAAATTTGGCAGCTTCTTGTAGAGATTAAACCTCATTCAGTTAATACCTTTGCTGCAGAGTCAGACAGCAGGGATTGTAAACTACTCTAAATATTGCTAGACAGAAAATTCCGGGCCTCTGAAATGAGTACCTGGCTATTTGACCATTCAAAAATCCGGACCAGCTCAGTCACACATATCCTGCATGATTCATCACATGCTTCCCAACGACTGGGAGGGGGGGGGAGGGCAGGGAACAAACAAACAAAAAAAAAAACCACAAGGAGGATGTGGTGCATTTCAATAAATTTAGGTATACATTGAGGGAACAGGGCAGCTGGAGCTACTTGTTCCTATCAGAGCACTTTTCCATGGCCTTGGGAAGGTGAAGGGTCCTTGCTGGTTCCTGCCTGATATGTTCATACCAGTAAGGAGGTTTGTGCACAAAAATAAAGAGCTTTTTTGAATTCTAGGTGGGTAAGTTAAGTGTCAGAAATGCCTGTGGAGTGTACACCTTTCCATCCCCCACACTGGCCTTAGAGATACATGAGATGATGATCAGAGCAGGCTCAGCTGTGACCAACATCTGAGGCACCACAGGATTGTTTTACAAATGCTGTTTGCTACCAAAACGTGAAAAGAGCAGGAGAAAATAAATACCCATCAGGTTTCTCACCTACATGCTGGCTACAGATCTGGAAGCAGTGACGGTGCCAGCCTGCACCTGACTGCACCCTGCCACAAGTTCTGAAGGTAACTCAGCTAGAAACCGTTTGCCTACTGCATTATAAAAACCTACTTTCTATGCAGCCCTCTGCTCTCTGAGCACCTGTCACCACTACCAAGAGCCTCCCTTGGCAGGTTCAGCAAATTGCACTGAGGATGCTACAAAGAACAACATTTTACAGTATTTTGATCGATTCTTCAGTGACTAATTCTGATAGTGCTTTGAATCTTGGGGACACCAAGAGCGTTTCTCTAAACCGGGCATTTCAAAAGCACACGACTCACTCCTGAGAGGATCGGGGTAAGTGGTGACCATTTAAAGCAAAGACATATTCATAAAGGGCTCCCACATCCACTCTGTAAGGTCAGGCCTGCACAGCCACTTTCAACTTAAAGTGAGCTAGGAAAAAAAAAAAAAAAAAGTGAAAAAAGATACGAATCAAATACAACAACAAAAAAGCATAGCTCAGTTCCTTTTGGTGACCTCAAAACCACCTTCCTAAAATAACAAACCAGTCATCTGTTATTCAGATGCATTGATCCATAAACAGCTGACCAGTGAGCACAGAGAGAAACCATGAATTTCTGTGTCGGTTTCGTAAATTGAAAACCACTTTTGAGAAGGTAGCTTCTCAAAAGTCTCTCCCCCCGTCGTGATCTCTGGTAATAAAGGTGCCAGTGCTAGTGTGGCACACTGATGAAGAGGGAGACGATCCCCAGGCTCCAGGGCCCAAATAGCCTGTGACCCGGCCACTATCAACTGGGATGCCAGCAGGTTATGGTTATGAACTCTACCTACACCGTAAGAGGGTCTGCTCCAGGAGGAGCAGATACAAACGGCAGTTTGGGCGAGAGCCTTGTAAGGGGACGAAAAAAAATCTGGAATTCGCCTCGCCTCTGCCTTGTGACAAAGCCAGTGGATCAAAACAGCTACAGGTGATCAGTGCAAAAAATTAGACCACCAGCAGGCTGCAACGGCACCAACAGCCTGCCAGCCCCTCAGCACCCAAGCAGTCCTGGGAAAGGCCCGTGGGGAGCACAGATCCAGCGCAGATAAAACACACGCCAGGCTGCCACGTATCAGTATACTGCATCACAGGACCAAATACGTGGGAAGCGCCGCTGGGATGCATAACAACTGTATTCATGACCCTGCCTCGCAGCACTTTTTAAAGCTAATGTCGCTCATCGAGCAGGTCCCCCCCCCCCCCGCACACAAAAGGCTGCGAGAGCCTGCACAGCACAAACAGCCCGCCCGACCCTTCCCGTGAAATTGCGCAACGGGAGTATTTTGGGTAGAGTTCCCAGAGGAAATTACCCAACCTCTCCGGCAACCAGAAAGAAACCTAGCCGGACGGGGAGGGCGCGCTGCCCGACAGCGCTGGGGCTCCGCTCGCCGCCGCCTTCCTTGCGAGAGCATCCGCGCCTCGGCCCCGTCCCCCCCGCCCCCCCAAACCCCGGCTCCCCGGGGATTCTCCCACAATCCCCCTCCGCCGGGCGCTGCGAGGCTGCGCCGGCCGGCCGGCGGCACGCGTGGGCAGCCGCGCGGCTGTCACACCCCGCGGGGACAGACACCTACGAGGAGGGGCGCGAGGAACCACCGACCCTCCCCAAGCGCGGCGGCGGGCGCTGCCGTCGGGGCGGGAGCGGCGGCCCCCCGCCGGTGCCCGCGGCCCCCACCGCACCCCCCCGGTAGCCCTCGCGGAGCGGACGGCGGCGGGAAGAGGGGGGGAAGCGGAGCCCCTCTTCTAACCGCCCCGAACTTCCGACGGGGCGGCACTCACCGAGCAGCGGGGAGGGCTCGGGGCAGGGTCCCGGCGGCGGCGGCGAGGCGGGCGGGGGCCGGGGCCGGGCGGCGGCGGGCGGCGGCGGGCGGGAGAGCGGCAGCGAGAGGTTGGCGGGCGGCGGGCGGCGCGGCGGCGGCTCGGGGCTGCCCGGCGGCCCCAGGGCGCTGCCCGCCAGGTAGTAGAGCAGCGTGGCCGAGAGGTGGAGGGCGCAGAAAGCGACGAGGAGGCGGCAGGCCCGCTGCAGCGAGGTGCCGGGCAGCGACTGCTCCTTCATGCCGGTGCGCTGGCGGGGAGCGCCGCCCGCCCCGCACCGCGCCGCCGACGAGGGACGGGGACGGGGCGGGGGGAGACGGCGGCTCCGCCCCCCGGGGGGGGCGGCCCCCCGCCCAGCGCTCCTCCCGCAGCCTGCCGCCACCGCGGGGACCACCGGACGGACCAACCCCCCCCCGCCACTCCGGCATCCCGTCGCGGCGTCTCGCCCCCTCCCTGGCATCCCGCACGTCGTCCCCGGCCATTCCACCCCCTCCTCCGCGGCATCCCGGCCCCCCCCCCCCCCTTTCCCCAGCGTCCCGGCCCGCCCCCCCGGAATCCCGCCCCTTTCCCCGGCATCCCGCCCCGGCATCCCCCCCCCCTCCGTCAGCCCGCTACTCAGCCCGCCGACATCCCGCCCCCTCCGGCATCCCCCCCACGCTGCACCCCGCTCTCCGGCCCCTAGGCATCGCGCCCCTCCCGGCATTCCACCCCCTACCCCCGGCATCCCGCCCCAGCGTGCGCCCCGCCGGCAGCCCTCTCCCCAGCCTCCCGACATCCCGCCCCCCCCCGCCCTCCGACATCCCGCCCCGGCATCCTCCCCCGCTTCCTTTCGGCATCCCGCCCCGGCATCCCGCCCCTCGCCCTCCCCCGACATTCCGCCGCCTGACCCCGGCATCCCGCCCCGGCATCCCGCCCGCCTCCGCCGCAGCCTCTCCCCTTGCAGGGGAGCGGGCAGCCCCGAGGCCGGGCCGCCCCTTGGGAGCGCACCCCTCCCTCTTCTCCGGCTGGCTCCCCCGCACGGTACCCGGTAACACCGTGCGGTAACCGTGGCTGCAGGTTCCTGCGGGTCACTGCAGCGGCGTGCGAAAACGCTCGGCTTCAGCCGAGGGCACCAACAGGCAGCTGTGAGCTGCTGCGGGGTAGCGCCGGTTGTATTTGGGTTCTCACCCCTTGGGGGGCTGCAGGTAGTCCCCACTTGGCGACGACTAAGCATCAGCTGTAGTTTTCTGTCCGCTCAGAAGGGCTTGTTTCATCGTGTTTAATGCAAAGCAAAAAAAGCTAGGCCAGGACCACCTTTTTCTTGAATAAAGCACAGGACCCCAGCAGGGCTAGTGACAGGGCCTTCTGGAGGTTTCCAGCCGAACGTGCAGCTTGAAGCAACACTATTGCCAGCAGTAGGTGACATCAGCTGTGGTTTCGTCCCGCTGAACCTTGAAAGCTGCCCAGCATGGGGTTCTCCACCTTTCTGGTTCCCTGTCCCAGAGCTGTCCCACATTCCTGACGAAGGAGTTTCCTCATGTCCATCATCAAGCCCGTAGAAGTGCCTGGGCAAGCAGGTCTGGGCACCATCCAACATCCCTCAAAGTTACATGTGTTTCTTAAGAGTGGCAAATCCATGAGCCTGGAAAGAAACCTCCTTGGAGCTGCCCTGTAACCCTGTGGCAGTGACGGTGGGAGGGTTTAGCATTGCCCTTCGGTAAGAGCGGTGACAGTCAGGAAGCCAGTACTAACCTTTGGTTCCCCTGGCCTTGAAGGCACCTTGCTCATGGCTCACTGGAGAGGAGTCAGTGGGCATCAGTGACTCACTGGGCAAGTGAGACTGACAGCTCACCAGGAAAAATCCCACTGGCAGCCTGGCAGATTTGCATGTATCTGGTTAGCCCCATGAGCCTCAGAGTGCTTCAGGGACACCAGGTGACACTCAAGTGGTTTTCAAGTGCAATAAATAACTCCTGCCAGTAGTCCTTACTGCTACTATTTAATGTTACTGTTTACTTCATCTCATGAAAGCAAAGTCACTGCAAGGAGAAGTGAATCTATGTTCTTCTCATTGGTTAAAACTACTTCCCAACACATGAATGCATCACACACTTCCCGCAGACCTCGTGGTCTGCTGATTTCAGCAGCCTCCAGTGCTGCTTGGTGGGCTGCCAAAGTGCTGGTCTGTGGAGCTGGGCTGTCGTCCAACATGCTTGGATGCTCCTTCGATGCTCATTCACTGACTGCTCGCAGGTACTCTTCTAGATTAAATGCTGTCTGTGGTCTTTGAAGAAATATACTGTGTCCCAGCATTTGACCTCTGACAACACTGCTGTTTCTTAGCTGCAAGACTGGCACTCCTCTGTGAGATCAGACACTGCATGTGACTGCTTCTCTTGGTTTGTGTTAAGGTTTGGACCTGCTGGACCTCACCAGATCAATGTTTTGTCATCTGATCTCATGGGCTACAGCTGCTCAATGCTATGCACAAGCAAGCCCACATGCTTTTTTACTAGTAGCCACGGTGAAAACCAGCAGAACACAGTCTTGGTTTGTGATGCTGTGCTGAGGTGGCAGAAACAGGAAGAGAATGGCCAGGAAGTGTGGCTGTTGATATCAGTGGGACAGTCTGCACTCATCTTTAAAAACTGAAATCGTCAATGATGTCCAGGAGCAGTCCTGAATCTGGACAAATCTACCTTGCTCTGCGACAGAGGAGTTTCCTTTTTGTGGCAGGACAAGGAGTTGATTTCAGGTCTGAGTGTCTCTTTGCCCTTCCCAAGTGGCTTCTGCTAGCCACCTGAATGCTCTTTGGAAGATGGACATCACTTTTGCCACAAGGAAGCTCAAGGAGAAAGTTATCCTGCAGTCAAGGTGCATGACCAGAGATGTCTGCTTCCTCTTTTCTGTTCACTTACATGTTTCTCAGTTCTTTCTGATGTATTCTGCAAGTTAGTCTGATAATCACCCTGTACTTTGGTTAAACCTGATGTGAGTATCATGATGACAATGTTGGTGTCCATGGCACTAATGCCATCACTGCTGATACTCTCAGTCAACATTCAATTAAGGACCAGCTCGTAAATTGCCTTCTTTGATGAGCAGACCCAGCTTTTGAAGCCTTCAGGCTCTTCTGACATCTTTTATGGATCAATTAGCAAAAGACAACCCAGAAATGGGACTCTTGGTAGACAATCCATCCTTCAGAACTTGGAGGTCAGTCCAGAGTTTCCATCTTTCCATGCCATCAGCAAATAACTGGGCTTCTGCTTCTTCCTTTCAGCTTTGAACTGGGCACTTGTAAGAAAAGTTCCCTGTGGCGCTTTAAGAGTCAGACCTTGGTTGTGACTCAAGGTAGAGTCAATCTGATTTCCTGTGACACTATTATGTATGTCACGTCTTAAATTTAGCTAGTAATAGCAAAAGAACGTACAGCACAGTGATCAGTAGAAAGATCAGTGGGTTAGGAAGTGTCTGACACATTTTTCCACAGGCCCATTGTAGCACCCTGCTGTGAATGCCTGCTGTGTTTTGTGTGAGTGGTATAAAAATTTTGCCATTTTTTCCCACGGGACCACTGTCTTGCTCACACTCAACACAGGTCTGGAAGTAGAGCAGGGCTTTGTGATGAAAGAAGCCTCTGTTGCAGCCAGGGGTCATTTGTACCCTGCACACACGCAAGTGTGCAATCACGTGGGTATGGGTAAATATAGGCATACAAATCTAAAGATGTAATGGCATACCTATTTTTGTGTAGAGGTAAGATGTCCTACTGAACCTGTGAATGAGGAAATAGAAATATAGACCTTAGAGGAAAAATGCATACGTGCATGTCCTTAGGCAAGGTCCAGCTGCGCATGCTGCATATCAACCCTCTCCAGCTTTTCACCATTGCAATCTCCACCCCAGCCCAGCCTGTGGAGTCCTTGGAGATCTCACTTTTCCAGTTATACTTGAATCAACTTCTAGCTCACTGGCTTTATTGTGGTGGTGATGTTCTTTTTTTGGTGAAGATAATTTTTAGCCTTTTTCTCCCTACAAAAAACTGTTAGGTGGCTATACTGCTTTGCTGCACATGAATACATCTGTCCACCCACCACGCCTAATGACTTGTAAGTCTGATTTTAATCAAACTTGGCAGTTGGAAGAGATCATAAACATCTGAAATACTTGCTGAAACAAGCCACCAGGGTGCAACAGAGTGAAAGTTCACTGGTAACGTGGCGAGACATTTACAGCTAGGCAGCAAAGTATGAGGTGGAAGAGGGAGGTTATAAGCCCCGTACTCTGAGAAGAAAAGCAAGGTTCTCAAGGAGCATGGCAGAATCCAGGAAAGGATGTGAGTATGAGCCAAGTGGAAGTTTATAAATCCTGCAGGTCGTGGCAGGATATGTTTCAGTGTGATCTAACTTTCCAGGTCCATGCTGAGGTCAATGTTTTAGTCATGAGGGTAACACCAACTGCTGCCACAGGGCAACCACTCCCTGCCTGAAGAGTAGCATGTGGCCACCACCACCACCACTGCAGGGGTGTTATCTGCACGGAAATGCCCTGTCTGCCAGTCCACAGCAAAACGTGGCCCCTCTGTGTGCATGGCCTTGTGGAGCTGAAGGTGGTTGGGACAACAGAGGTGCAGGAGCTGGCCTAGCCCTTCTGAGGATCCCTGGGTCAAGCCTCACAAGCCCTTTTCTGGCTAGGACACAGGGAAGCACAGCCCCTGCAGCAGCTCTCCTGTAGCTTACCCCAGGGTCAGCATGCATCGCGTCAGCTTCTCTGGGGAGAGTGAGATCTTGGGTTTGTGACCCCGCTCTTCAGGGTGGTCATAGCAGCCCTCAGCATCCCTGCACGTGTGAGCCACCTCAGATTGCACTGGGGTGAAGCCCACAGCCCCGGGTTGCTCGAAAGAGCAAAAAAACATGCACCCCAGGGCGTGAAAGTAGTGCCTGGATTGAGCACAGCTTGGGCAGGGTGCAGGCAAGGTGAGAGGTAGGAAGGTAAGGTTGGGATTTGGGGAAGGGCCAGATGCAGAGGGTTAGTGGGCAGCAGTGGGTGGCTGTGGGGCCGTGCACCCTAGGCTGCATGTGGGGGGCCGTGCGTGGGGTCCTAATTCGCAAGGGCCCTCTGCTGGCACCCTCACCCTGAGCACTGGTGACGGACCCCGTGTGTGCAGGTGGTCTCTGGACTCCAGCCCGTGAGCTTTGCCGTGCCGCTACACTCTGCTTCCAGGAGTGCCAGCATTTCAGACATACACTCCCCTCTCCAGCAGCGTGGGATGGGGGGCAATCCTCTTTGAGGTCATTTCTCCCTTCAAGGCATGCAAACCCTGCCCCGGGATATCCCCAGTGTCTGTCTCTCTCCCCCATTGTCTCTCCCCCACCGCGGCATGGCTGACG